ACTGGCACAGTGTTCAACAATGGAGTGTGGTTGTCATGGAGATGCAGTGTGACATTATTACCACCACACAGACATTGTACCACTATAAATGTGGTTAGAACCAGACTCAGTGTTGACACTAACATTGTTGACATTGTCCCTGGAAAAGGGGTTACTTTCAAGGATCCTCTTAAATGCAACAGTAATTTTTAATTTTGTTAATTCTAGGATAGTGGATGGCACTTCTGGGGAAAGAAAATATACATACATGTGTGTTTCTCCATCCTCTTTAGTACAGACCTAATGGGGATGGGACGTTTGGTGCAACACTGCTGCTTAACTTCAGGTCTTCCTCAACAGTACCCATCCAGGAAGTCAGTAAATGAGGGGCTGATTCCCTTTGAGACTCACAGTGAATGTACAAGCAGTTGTAATTACTTCACTTGGTGACAAAGTGTATTTCCCTAACCAGTACTATACTTTCTTGTTTATGTTTGTTTTACTATTTCCTATTCTAACAAAACTTCAGCAGGCAAACAAGTTGATGCAGATCATTTTAAATTCAAAAAGGGATACTGCCACTCTTAAAAGACTGAGTGTAAAACTTTCACCACCACTAAATTACAGTGAGTAAAAGTACAAAACACATAATTCACAGACTATACCTCAGCATTAACAGTTAATATATATTATATAGATACTTTTATATCTATCTAATATTTTTACAATCACCAGATACACCATCATTAAGTACAAGTTACAGAAATGTGTAGAAACCATTAGAGGGTACTTATTGCTTACATCAGCAAGCAGCAAATAGGGCACAGAATTTGAACTGAAGGGAACTACTTTCTATCACCAGTGGCATTAAGATATAACACTGCATTTCACAAAGCACTGCTTTTATCTAGTTTATAGAACCAAGAGCAGCATATATCAGACCAATAACCACTACTTTAATATGTATTCTAGAATTTTAAAGGAATTACCTTACAAATGGTACCTAACTATATAAATATGCATGTTGTGGACAAATGAAAGTTTGCTATTTTTTACAATGTTGTTACAACTTGATCATACTAGTACTACTTTGCTTTATTTTCTAGAGGGCTACTGGTATGAGAATGGAGTTCACACTGCTTATGTAGTCAGACCTACAAGACGCAGACCCTTGAAGATGTGGTCTGTGTTCATCCCAATTCCATCCAACCATTTCTCCCAACTGAAAAAAAAAAATCACTTGTACCTTCTTTCCTTTCACTTTCTTTCTTCTGAGAAAAAACATTAGCTATAGATAAGTGTGGGGAATCTTTAAAATATTTTTTTAACTTAGCTAAATGCTTTGGACTGTAATATACTAATATTCTGCTGTTTTCTTGTTTCCTTATTGGATAATTTTATTTGAAATTGACACTGCACCTGATGGGTTATTAACAAGATCTAGACTTCAGGAAATGAAAGATGTGAGCGAGGTCCGTGTGTGGGGTGAAGCCTCGGGCTGGTGAGATGGTTCTGTCCTATAGTTGGGGCCATGTTTACTCCTTTTCAGCCTGTGTCACAAGCCTTGAGAAAAGAAGTGACTTCAAACTCAAGAGAAAACAAGTACTGAAAATCTCTACTTAGACCCAAATTTTTAAATAAACTCTGTAGATTAATGATCTGGTCATTGCTAAAGTGAAAGTTTTTACCCAAAGAATGCAACAGTCCCATTTTTAAAATCCAGGCATTTTAGTCGTCCATTACGGATCTGGGGACATCAAGTATTTGTATTGTTATGTGGAAACATACACGTTAGGCAGCAAGAGCACTCAGTGCCCCTGATGGTGTCAGTGATGAGCACTACGGCAGGCACATCCTGTCCAGTGACGCGGCTGGTCTGTGGTTGACCAGGAAGGGTAAAGTGTCATGTGGAGACATTCATGGACCTCAGAATCAGAGGCTGCTTCACTGAATGAACCTGATTGTTAGTTTATTTGCTGTATTTAGTTGAGGATATGCCTCTAACTTGAAACTACAAAAATGGCAAAGAGATCATTTTAAAATATCGAGTACAAATGAATATAGAGCTGAGAAACCCATGTCCTAGCTCTGCAGTCTGAAGTTGCATGTAACAGGACTCGGGTGTTCTCCGTTTCCAGCCAAGCAGACCGCACGCTCAGCCATCTGTCGTCTCCCTTGCGCTTGGCCTCTGGGCTCACTTTAGCCAGTGCTTTGAGCCTCTCACACCAGTGCATCCCCTTGTGGGGAACAGTTTTAGAGAAGTTGAAACTAGTATTTTTCACTTTCCAAAACCACTTATTTTTGCAAAATGGGGCACAAAACCAGAATTATCTTCTGGAGGACGGCCCCCTCTAGTTTGGGCTTCCCCCACCAGATGAGTGTTCGAGGAACCCATCTGTATCAGTGTGCTAGCTGGCCTTGTGAGAAGCTGCATTCAGCTTCAGTGAATTTTTTCAAAAACTTTCAATGCACTTACCTATTTCATGATGTGTGATATGAGCACACCTGTCTGCACTGAGCTGAGTGTTCAGCAGTTTTTGACTGAAAATGGCCTAACCCTTGTGCCCCACCCTCCCTAGGCACCCAGTCTGCCCCTAACACCTGTTTGTTCTCCCAGATGAAAAAGGTCCTCAAACAGAAACACTTTGCCAGCAGAAGTACTAAAAGGCATCAAAATCAATGAGCAGAAACTTTTCTGAGCAGTGGAAAAAGTCTTGATAGGTGTATTACATCAAATGAAGAGTACTTTGAAGGTGACTGAAGTTTAAACATTAAGAATAGAGAATTCCGGTCAGGATGGAGGTGTAGGTAAACACAGCTTGCCTCCTCACAACCAAAATTACAACTAAACTATAGAACAGTCATCACTCATAACCGTCAGAAATCAAGTTGAGTGGAAGTCTGACAACTGTGGAATTAAACAACCCACATCCATCCAGACTGGTAGGAGGGGTATAGACATGGAACGGGCTGGTCCCTAAACCACATGTGGTAGATAAAAATTTGGGAGGGATATACTGGGAGTGAGGGGTTCCAGCCCCACACCAGGCACCTCAGCCCAGGGTTCCAGTGCCAGGAAGGTAAGTCCCCGTAAGTTCTGGCTGTAAAAACCAGTGGTGACTGAGCCTATGGAAGAAACTGCTAGATTTCCAAGCAGTTCCTCTCAAAGAACCCACACACAGACTTAAGACTCCCTCTGAGCTCCAGCACCAGGGAAGCAGCTTGAAAGGCACCAGTGGCATATGGGGAGGAACTAAAGTGTTGCATCAGGGTGAGATCTGGGGGACTGCCTTTTCCCAGAAAGAACAGTGGGCAAAGACCACTGTTCCTTTTCTGAGCCCTCTTCCCACAGAACCACAGAGCTGGCTGGCAGGAACCATATCTGAGACTCCATCAACCTGGCTAATGTTTGCCCTGCCCTGCCCTGGTGCTTCCCTGAGGCCCTGCCCCACCCAGTTCTGTTAACAGTGACTTTTCCATATGAATGGCTGGTCTTGGCTCGTGCTTCACATCTTAAATCCATTCAGGAGAGCACAAGCCAGCCTCAGGGAGCCCCTGCCCCTGTACCTCTTGCTAAGTGGCCCTAGGCCTCACACTAGCAGCAGCCAGTTAAGTTTCACAGCTTGGCTCTACCTGGGAACTTCCAAGCCCAGCACAAAGAGCAGCCATCTGCAGATTGCTTTGTAGCTCATGGTGGGTGGCCCCAGGCAGAACATAACTGGGTCTCACCTTGGCCAGCACCACTGGGGAACCCCAAAGCCTGTGCACCCAGTGGACAGCTACAGACCACGGTGGAGTATTACCACCCTGCTCCTGCACGGCAGTCCCTCCACAGAGGGAGGAGGTTGGGGGTCACTAGGCACAGCCAGTCCCTGCAGCTGACTGGCCTAGGTAAATCCCTCCCACTGACCTGCCAACAGCAATCAAGACTCAACTACAGGAGGAGGGTATACTCAGCCCACATGAAGGGTGCACCTTGAGCACCCAGCTTGGGTGATAGGGGAGGCTGTGCCACTGGACCGTACAGGATACTACTACATTACACCCCACTACCAAAACAGAGACATAGCAGTTCTCCCTGATACATAGAAACAAACAGGGAGGCTGCCAAAATGAGACAAGGGAACATGACCCAAATGGAAAAAAAAAAATCTCCAGAAAAAGAACTAAATAAAAGGGAAATAAGCAATTTATCAGATACAGACTTCAACACACTGATTATAAGGATGCTCAAGGAACTTACTCAGTACCTCAACAGCATAAAAAAGATTCAATCAGAAATGAAAGCTACACCAATTGAAATAACATATTACAGGGAGTCAATAGTAGAGTGGATAAAGCTGAGAATCAATGATTTGGAATATAAGGAAGCAGAAAAGAACCAAAACAAGAAGTAAAGAAGCCAAAAAAACAAGGGTAGTGTAAGGAGCCTCTGAGACAACTTCAAGTGTTCCAACATTCACATTATGGTGCCAGAAGAAGAGAAAGCAAGAATTTGGAAATCTATCTGAAAAAATAAAGAAAACTTCCCTAATTTTCATGAAGGAAAAGACATGCAAGTCCAGGAAGAGCAGAGTCCCAAACAAGGTGAATGCAAAGAGGCCCACTCTAAGACACATCGTAATTACAATGCCAAAGGTTAAAGATAAAAAAATCTTAAAAGCAGCAAGATTAAAGAAATTACCTACAAAAGAGTTCCCATAAGACTGTCAGCTGATTTCTCAAAAGAAACTTTGGAAGCTAGAAGTGATTGGCAAGAAATATTCAAAGTCATGAAAAGGAGGGACCTACATCCAAGACTGCTCTACCCAGCAAAGCTATCATTAGAACTGAAGGACAGATGAAGAGCTTCCCAGACAAACTAAAAGAGTTCATCATCACCAAACCATTATTACACAAATTATTAAAGGGATTTACTTAAGAAAAACATCAAAACTATGAACAAATAAAATGGCAACAAATACATACCTGTCAACAATCTAAGCAAACAAGAACAAAGAATCATGGATTCAGAGAGCATTTTGATGGTTGCCAGATGGGAGGAGGGTTTGGAGGACTGGGTAAAGAGGTGAGGGTTTTAAGAAGTACAAACTGTTGGCCACAGAACAGCCATGGGGATGCATAAAGTACAGTATAGAAATGGAGGAGCCAAGGAGCTTCTACATGTGACCCGTGGACATGAACAAAGTTGGGAGCTGCTGGGTGGAGTAGGGCAAAGGGGGAAAATTGGGACAATAGTAATAGCATAATCAATAAAATATAATTTTAAAACATATAAGAATAAGTACACAACTTTTAATTCTTGGTTTTGGGGTTCCCTCTCCTATGCCTCTGCTGTCTGGGACTTTTTATTAAAGGCAGAAAAAATAGGAATGCTGTTCAATTTTCTTTTTAAATGGCAATCTGATTCTAGTGTATTTGTACCTGACATCATCTCCATTAAACCAGTTTTATTCCTGAGATGAAGGTACAGTGAAAAACATGTTAGCATCATAGGTTAAAACCAGTTGACAAAGGTCTTCTAAAATGACAAATAATAAAAATTCCACTGAAAGCACCATAACAGATTATGAAACTCCCAAATAGCTACAGCCCTAGGAAATACTTAATTCAAAAAAATACTGTCTTTTATGTTACAGGAAAAAAAAATCAGTAAATCTTTTACTATATGCCGCCTCACAAGCCTGAGAATATGACATTTTTATACTAGGTTTTACTTTCATTGTTACCAGTTAAAACCCATATGGCTTTTAGTCTTTGCTTACCAAAAAAGGGGGAGGTAAAGGGTTCCCCCTCGAGTCTTTTGAGGAACATTTCCCCAACTAAATCTTAAGTCTGCATTAAGTTTTGCAAAGATAATATTAGGCACATCAGACCAGATTTCAACTGCGTTGAGATTTCAACACTACATCCTGACAAAAATAAGAAATTCACAAGCTTCCACTAGTGGTGTGAGAGGCGGGGGGCGGGCTTGTATGTAGATGTGGAGATATATCATGGGGCGTGTAATTTCGCTAGTGAAACCACCAATACTTTTATTTAAATTGAAAATACTCGAGTTTTCTAGGTATCTATTTACATTTAAGAATAGAGCCATCCATGGTTTCATAGTGAACACGTATTTCAGAAATGCCTACCTTGTTTCTACTCTGACAGTGGTGTTTCTACCGGGGGAGAGCTAGCTAACCTACTCTAAAGAACGTATTATATTTTACAGCTCCCGGGAAGACCTAGGTGTGTAATATCATTACTCTTTCTGAGCTTCCTCATGTTTTCATTGTACTCTTTCCAACTGTTTTGCCTCCATGGCAGAGAACTTCTTAACATCCTATTTCTCTTTCCACTTCGAATGAGTGAGGACAGGCTAGTGCCTACTTTGTAGGAAGGCTCTTGAGCAGCGAGGAATGAATTAAACTTTAGATTAAACCTGAATCCATGCCGCCTCTTTGAGTAGTGATAGCGTAAATGAGATAATCTAGAAACTCTCTTTCCTGGGAATTTGAACTGTTCATTTTCCAACCTAGAACAGACGGGAGAGAGACTCTCCATTCTGTATATCTGCTGCCCTGTTGAACGCACATTAAAGGAAGAAGGAAACACTCCAAGACCACTCCGTTCAGGCAATGATGATTGAACTGATTTTTTCTCCATTATTGCACTAGGACCAAACATCTCAACTGGTGGCAAAAACTGAGCACTGTGAGGTTTGCTTGCTTCTATTTGTGTGAGATCTAGGTAGCCTGGGGCTTCCAGCACGTCGATTTGGGACCCTGGGCTCAGGCTAGTTCTATCAGTGAATGAATCCACGCGCCCCTCATAGCCTAGGTCGGCTGGTGCTGAGCACTGGTGCTGAGGCCAAGGCCGCTTGCACTCTCCATGATTCTCCTTATCATCCCCACCATCTTCTTGCCCTCCTTGAAAAGAGTTCTCTGTCCAATCTGATTCCTCACTAACATTTACAGCTTTGTTCATGTCCCTCAGGAATACCACAATGACAGTGATGTTATCACTGGACCCGGCATCACGAGCTGACGCCACCAATTTGTGGGCAACCATGCTGCTGTCTCCATTGTTCTCCTTCAGGTGGTCAGATACAACTTTTACTGCCTCGTCAGGGTTCACGGTGTCATAGAAGCCATCGCAGGCCAGAATGAGGTAGTCTTCAGTTCCATCCAACACAGTAGAGGCGGAATCTGCATCCCCACAGATGTATGGCTTATGTTCAGCATCTCCTGTGGGAATTAGAACGTAGGTCAGATTTTGGTTTACCTGGAATGTAGGAATGTGTTCAGCCAGTGCTGTGACTGACCATATTCTGCTGCACTGGCATCTGAATTTACTGGTAAGAATTTCTAGTGTTAGATAAAATATTTGAATTCTCTGTTAATCAGACACTGCTTGGTCTTACTCTCAGTTAAATAATCGCCATTAATTTGGCTTAATTTCTTATCTAGCATAGACTAAATCTTGTGCCCTAGCTAATCTAAATTTGTTGCTGTACTGAAAGATTCAGTCCTATGTAGGAAAACTTTGTTAATTTAATAGATCTATTCTTCTGCTGGTGGTTTGGTTTGATTCAGTTGAGATTTGAGAATAAGTCCACATTGAAAAGCAAATCAAAGTTTGATCACTCTTCATTAAACTTAATTCTTGTTCTATCCTTGTTTAGAAATAGTCGTGCTGCAAACACAGAGAAAGGCTTGAGTTACAAGGGATTTTAAAAAATCAAGCCCAACTCTCACAAGCCAGGAAAGTCATCCCAAGCTTCAGACAAGGGAACAGAACATTAGTCCCTTGGTTCCTGTCCAATTTGCTTTCTATGTTTTTTTTTTAAGATTTTTAAAAATTTATTTATTTTAGACAGCAGAACTGAGGGAGAAAGAAGGGGAGAAAAACATCAATGTTGGTTGCTTCTCGTGCGCCCCCTACTGGGGACCTGACCTGGGCCACAACTCAGACATGTGCCCTGACTAGGAATCGAACCAGCGGCCCTTTCAGTTCGCAGGCCGGCACTCAATCCACTAAGCTACACCAGCCAGGGCTGCTTTCTATGTTTTAAGTTGTTTTGCTTATTCTAGAAAACAGTCTTCGTATGTTTCTGATCATCCCCCTTTCTGTCTTTTTTTTTTTAATCATTGTTCAAATAGACCCCCTTTCTGTCTTTATTGCTATTGTTCATTCTCCACTTGTGAACTGCGAGAACCCCCAAAGCCCTATTGGCTTAGCTCATCCACCCACAGAATGACGTTTGAGCTGGGCATTATCACCAGGGAAGGGCCAAAGACAGAGAGACAACTGTTAGGAAGTGATGTGTAGCTGACTACTTGGTGCTGGGAGTAGAGAAAGAAAGACTGGAGACCTTGGACCCACACTAAGCTAGGTTTCTATCACCAGAGTACCAAGATAATTCATCACCTACAATGCAGTTTAGAACTTCCAGACCAGAGCACTTTCAAATCCGTTCATTATTTTCCTTTAGGTATTTGGAAAGAAACTAGCCAAAGGGTCCTTAGCCTATTGGGTAACCAAATACCTTATTACTACAAGGGATACTCTTTCTTTACATAAGAAAAAAAAACACAGTATTAAGCAGTAATTCCTAGGCTAGATTATCATAATTCATCGGTAAACAGTTTTTAAAAATTTACAAAATGCGTTTTATCATTTGTAAAATAGTGACATCAACTCAGTGGTTTAAGGAGGCCAGCACTGGAGTCAGACTGCCTGGGTCCAAATCCTAGCACTGGTTGAAAGCCCTCATCAATGACTATCCTTTCCATTCCACTAAAACTGAACTTTCTGACTAAGGGAAGATAAAATGAAGAGAAATATACTTCAGTGATCGGACTATATTATCACTGTTTCTGGTATATGTTATAGGTTCTCCTACCCAAGTAAGGTTCTCTCCAACATTTCACACCCCTTTTTAACCCTCAGGTAGGCCCAGAAAGCTAATTAAGAACCCAGTGGATAACTCGAATAGCACCAACATGGGCCAAATGCTCTCTCCAATAGGTTGCATGAGATACCCTGAACAATAACTGATGCATTTACCTGCATTAGTTTATCTATAAAATAAGAAACTATCTTGTTCATACAGTAGCCAGAACCATCTTCTTCAAGTATGGTTTTGATTAAAGACATTAGCCTGTTAAAGCTCATTAAAACTCCCAATCATGGGATTCAGCGCCCTCCACCAATCCACTTCACAAATTTCTCCAGTCGTTCTTCCACCTGACTGTATTATCATCATCATTATTTTCTGAACTACAGCTCTAAAAATAAATGTGATCTGAGTCATACTGTTCTCAAAAATCTTGTTTTAGTGTTTCAATTAAAAGGCTACTGCAACTGTTAGTTTAGAACAGAACATACAAAGATCTGCACAGAGGAAATGCTGCCAAAATTCTGGCTTTTCACCTGCTCTACTGTTTCATGTCAAATTCATGACATTTCGCCCCCAAATTTGGTAGGAGGGCATGATTATCCATTTCGCGGTGGAAACGGCAACATCCTTTTGTCTTCAACCTCCTCTCTCCATATGCTAGGAAACATCGCACTTCTGTCAACTTCGGATCCTAAAGCTGAAGGGCTCATGGGGAGACACAGTTTAAAAGCTTTTCATTTTAAAGCTTTAAGAGTCATTTATTCCTAAGTAGAGTTCAACTCTGCCTAGGAGTCCTTCTTCTTGTCTCCATTTAGCCCTCTATTCCATAAGCCTTCCAAATCTCTCGTTTTTCAACTCCCTCCTCGAGTTAAACTCCTGGATTGGGTAGATGGCCTAATTTCCTACTTCAAAGAAAGTTAAGTCTATCAGGCTTGAATTCTCTCAATTCCCCTCCACCCATCCCTATTTCTTCTTTTGTTATTCTGTAGAGGTTCACCTGCATCGGCTACCATTTCCCTTCTGTCTTTCTAGGGCTCTGGCTTCTCTCCCTCCCATCTTCAATTTCTACTTGCTCTCTTCTTTTATCCTAAAAACATGGTCTGATCTAAAAATCTCACCCTAAAAACAATAGAAGCAACCCTTTCCCAAATCAGCTTTAACCTCAAGTCACTACACCATTTCTCTTCACCACCAAATTGTCCAAGAAACCAAATCTACTACGTAAAGTAACATCAGTTACTTTATGTTATTGCTCATTTTCTCTCATCTGATTGTTTTTCCGGCTTTCATACCTAACTGATCCAAAACATTTCTCTCAAATGTTACCAGTTATAGCTGTGGCCAGGTGGCTCAGTTGGTTGGGGCATCGTCCCATACACCAAGGCAGTGTGCGTGTACAGTTCCCAGTCAAGGCACATACCTGGGCTGCGGGTTGGATCCCCAGTCCGGGAGTGTACAGGAGGCAACCAATCACTGCCCCGCCCCCAAAAATCAACATATCCTTGGGTGAAGGTTAAGAAATGTTAACCAATTATAGTAAGTTCTCACTTAATGTTGTCAATAGGTTCTGCAACTTTAACTGAAATGACATATAACAAAACCACTTAGTTAATTCATATAAACAAGAGTTCCCAAAGCATCTCATCAATGCTACAACGAAATAACTCTAAACAAAACATTACTGAAGGACACGCTATATTTCCCATTTTCAAAATTCCAGTCTTTTTTTTATCTTTCCTACTTGACCTCTACAGCACTTGATCCTGTTGACTACTTACTCCTAGAAACCCTCTTCCCCTAGCAACTACGCTACCCCACTTCTGTAACTCTGATCCCCTCTTATTTTCTTCACTGGCTCCTTCACTTCATGATGGCACTAACGATTACTGCGTGCTAAAACTGTTTCAGACCGTTCTGAGTGTGGTGCGTGTATTGCACCATTTAATACAAAAACTCCGTGAGTTAGGTACTGTTACCATTCACACCTTACAAGGAACAAACTGACACAGAGAACTTCAGTGAATTTCCCAAGGCCCACAGCGTGTACAGTGGCAGGTCCAAGCACAAACCCAGAGGACGTGACTTCATTATGTTATTCTACTCTTCACACTACATATTCTTGGGCATGATAATTAATTTTTTTAAAATTATATATATATATACTGCATAGGTTGCTAACATTAGTGCCAAAATGAATGAGGTCCCCTATATTTATCTCCAACTCAGAACTCTACAAAGCTCCACGTCTGTATTTCCAGCTGCGTATAAACCATCTCTTCCAAGACATGCTATAGGTACCTAGACTATAAATACATCCAAAGTGAACTCATCATCTGCCTTCCTCCTCACCCCCAAAATTGCTGCTGCTTTATTATAAATGCTTTATCATCTCAGTCACACAAGCCAGCAACCTGGAAGTTAGCTTTCCTCTTTTCCCACAAACTCCCTGCTGTCCCATCAATTTATACCCTTCTCTGTATCCCTTTTTAGCTGCCTCATCTCTATAACAAACTGTATTAACAGCATCCTCAATGATCACTCATCTGGGCTTTCTAGTCTAGTCTGTCTTCCAAACCATTATTACAAATATCTTATAAATACAGACCTGACCATAAGGCCCCTCTTCTTATCACCTGGTAAAGCCCAGACTACTTGGCCCCTTCACAATCTGGCACCAGCACTTACCTCTTATCCCTCCCACCTCTCCCCCAGCCTCCTGTACTTGCTGCTGTTCCTAAACCCCATGCTTTTTCAGATGCCCACGTATTTATATTCCTCTGTACCTGGAGTTTTCTCCCAGAATACCATCTTCCACATCTACCTCAAAAGTCACTTCTCTGAAGTCTGCATTATTCTCGCTTAGATTGTTGACATTCTTCCCCTGCGTCAATTTCCCCTCGTGTTATATTTTTAGAAACAAGAAAAGGCAAGTATCCTTAGTAAAGCTAGCTCTATAACAGGCATTAAAGATAACTCTGAATACCCTGACAAAGACAGGAAGATCAAGAGGAAGAGGTGTTTGGTTGGAGTTGTCAAAAAGCAATTCTATATGGGGGATATTTTAAAAATGAGAAATTTCCCCTATTTGGTCTTATTCCAGAGTTACCAAGAACCCCAACAGTCATACAATAAAGCCAACTTTCAGTTTTTCAGGAAGTATTTGCAGAATTTCTCTCTTTTTCACCCTTCTGCTGCTCACATTTGGGCCACTTCACAGCTTGCCAGCACCTTCCCCAAGAGTGGGAGGACCTCACGCCAGTGGCGAAACTGAGTCAGTCCTTTGAGATTTTGTCAATGTTCTGGAATTTTCTGGTAATGATAAGCAGAATGGGAGGGTCAGAGCTGAATTCCATGTATCCATGTTACCCCTGTGTCAAAGTGCTTTGCTTCTTTCAGAGGCAGCAACGGAGAACTGCAGTATATGTGCACAATATACATACTACCCACACAGACACAGAGATTTATTCTTTAAAAAAAAAAAAGCAACAGAAACGGAGCTAAGGCATGAAACCTAAAATAATAAACCCAGGCACCAAAGTGAAACACGGGAACTGGAATATAGCTCAGTTCTTTGAACTTACTCCCTTGTATTGTGCCCAGTCAACTTAGCTGTGCCTAAGTTTTTAGACAGAGTTTTGATGACCTTCCCCTTCCTCTGAAGAACTTAGGTCCCAGGGACCAGACTCTCTGAAACCCCAGGGTTGTCTGGCAAATTATTACATTCCTCATACAGAAAATTATTTTTATCTAAAAAGCACAATGTTTTTTTCTATGGATTTGTTCTGTTTATGTCATTTTAGAATTTATAATAAATGACATAAAGATATAAAAGCAAGGTAAAATATGGGGGAAAGCTTCCATTCTCTGGAAAATATTGATTTAAATTCAATCTGACACAAAATAGAATGAAATGAGAATTGCTGTGGTTTTAAGCAAGCAGATCTGTGTACTAAAGATTAAAGGCTTTCATTAAAAAAAAAAAGAAAGAAAGAAACTTGCCCTGATTGGTATGGCTCAGTGGGTTGGGTGTTGTCCCACAAACCAAAAGGTTACTGGTTCAGTTCCCAGTCAGGGCACAAGCATGGCTTGCAGGACAGATCCCCAGTCTGGGGCCTCTGAGAGGCAACTGATCAATGTTTCTTTCACACATCACTGTTTCTCTCCCTCTCTTTCTCCCTCCCCCCTCTCTAAAAATAATTTTTAAAAAAATATTTAAATTACAAAAGGGTAAAAACTAGTAAGTTTAGCACTTAATACAGTTCCCTTTTAATAATAGAACTTAAGGATATAAATGAATTGGTTAATTAAATAATATAATTAAAAGAGGCATCATCTGACTGTTATTTTAAATAATAATAAGCACACTGATAATATAAATGATCATCTCAGGTTCCCTTGTATCAGAGTTAATATAAGACAATGAGCCAGAAGAGGACAGTTTAGAGAAACAAAAATTAATTAGTTTTTCCTACCAATAGCTCTGGAGACTGACAGACTTCCATTTACTCTCCAGGCACCAAACCAGACTACACAACCTCCAAGGGCCTCAATCCGCTGCTTTTCATCCTAAACAGCAATGCAGTAAAAAGAAGCAAATAATTAGATTCAGAATTTATTCATCTACCTTAACACTAAGCATATACAATACTCATCAGCTTCCTAGAAAGGTTCTCTTTATTTCTCTTTTGAAAGGTGAGCATGGTTGCTGAGATAATGGTGATAATTATGGTAATTAAGTAAAGCTTAATTAATAACTGCCTTTGTGGAGCAGACCATACTTACCTCTCTGTCTGGTTTGTGTGGCTTCATCAGTTCCACAGCTTGGCCCTTCCTCACAAGCATAACCTGGGAATCGCCCACCCAGGCCACATACAGCATGTTACCTCTGATAAAAGTCACCACTCCTGTGGTCCCACATCTTAAGCTCTGAAAATAGTTTAAATAAAACTAGAGTCAGTAAAAATAGACAGATATCAAAATCTCAATGTGAAGCAATTTACAGTTGATACCTTCCAGTGGGGAGCTGGATTATTAATAACTCAATTTTACAAAGAGCAATTCCTGTTTCTAAATTTGAATTTACCATGTTTATGTGCATGTACATATTTATGTGTACACACACACACAGATCCATTTGATCTGAGCTATGCAAGGCAGGGATGAGTATTAATTCCATTCTATATACAGGTAAGAAAACTATGGCAGATCATAGGAATTGTCCTGTGGCAGGTATCTGATTAGTAAACAAGAAATAAAATTATTTTTCCTGCTAGCTCAGTGCTATATGAACCCTATGAGTAAAGATTACCATATTGTGGTCTCTGTTTTGTTACTGACCTACTACTATATGTTTAGGGGGGACAGTCCTCACTTTACAAAATAATATATAAAGCATCTGACTGACACACAAATGCTCCCATACTCTGGACAGTAAGACAGAGCCAAGAGATAATAACACAGATTCCCTGGATGAGTGCTAAGATGCTTATACCTTGAAACAAACAATCATTTTAGGGACCTTTTGGAACACTGCATAAAAGAACTAACAGCCTGGAATTTCTCTGCAATGGCTCAGTACCACTGTACTTAATGCTCTTGATAGTACTATACTAAAATGACATCTCCATCTGACATGAGTCACCACCAAATGAGCATGACTTTCTGTTACTAAGGACTTGGCCTAAATTAGAACCAATGCGTCATGGGTGGTAAAAGGCCCCTTGTAACCAATGAGAAAAACAACTTCTCATTTTCTCTATATAGGGAAAGTTTGTTATAAGTCCTCACCCACCGATAAAATATCTTCCCACACAGACTGCTCAAACACTCAGCCCCCTGGAACACACGATAAAGGCACTTCAGTGCATACGCCCTGGAGAGAACAGGAGGCAGGGCTGCTTCACAACAGGAATAGCTACTTTCTCCCCAGCAGTTAGCAGCACATGGGAGCCCGAAAATGAGAAAAGCAACTGTTGAGACAAATCTAAATTATTCAAGAGAACTACTGGCAGAACTGAGGGACTCTAGGATCACTGGCAAAGCAAATAAGGAGAACATGGTCAGGAAAAAAAGCCATACTTTTGAGGACACAGAGGAAAAGGGATAGAACAGAGGCTGAAGGCGGCAAGTGATTCTCTTAGTTTGCAAGTCCGTGATTAGAGATCACCCCTCAGGGGCCAGGTCTTTTCCTCAGTCAGAAGGATGACAGCCAGCAGCTCCAGGCAGACAGCCAAGCAGTGCTGGTTCTCAAGAGCCTGGGAAGGCCACATGTCAGCACTGTATTCTGATCTCTAGCCCCGCACCTCTATATGTAGACCTTGGTTGTTGCTGCTGGTAGATTTACATATTAATCTAAACCTGGGGTGCAGGTGGGAAAATACAGAATATTTTTCTCTTGCCTAATACCAATGGTTCTGAATTACTGCTTCATTAATTCCAGGCCCCACTACTACTGTACAGCATAACTATGAGATCAAAGAAATGGATTAAAATGATTACCCTGTCCTCTCCAAGTTCATTTTGAAAAGAGTTAATGTTTAGGTCATAGGGCAGGAATCTTATGTGTATATAATATTGTAATTACATTTAAAAATTAAAAATTATTCTTCTATTGGCTCCCAATTAGAAATGAATATAAAGTACCTTAGTTAATTATGTACCAATAACAAGACTCATAATTAGATTAAAATTTTTACTTTTAGATCCTAATATAGAGTCCCTGTCATTCTTTCAGAGTAAAAACCTCAAGTCTGATTAACCTTAAGAAATTAGGACATGAGCTCTGGCTTCACTTCCTATTAAGAGAAAAATCAGTGCAAGGATCACCTAAGGATTCACTGTCTCCAAGCAAATTTTCCCTCAAGAGATACACAGCAAAACACTACCAACCCATTCAGAACTAAATGTATGGGAGTAATCCCAGCTTGTTTTTTTTTTTTTTAGACCATTGTTTTAATCACCATATCCAGATTTTATCAGCAAGCCTGCTTAGAGAGATGGTCCTTGTGTGAACCTGGCAGACAACAGTGAATAAGAAAGACAAAACTCACCTGCCAAATCCAGCAATGGACAGCCTTTCTAGAAAATTAGAGCTTGGGGGTTTCTGTACAGTACATCATAGCACCCTACTAAAGCTCTTCCTGAAGACAGAATTAGTACTACTAAAGAATCCAATACTGCAGGTCAAGAACAAAGTTTGGAAAAGAACTTTCAATACTCCCTGCCCTGGCTGGTGGGGCCCAGCTACTGGAGCATCATCTATAAACCAAAAGGTCGTAGGTTTGATTTCTGCTCAGGGCACATGCCAGGGCTGGGGATTCAATCCCCAGTCAGGGTGTGTATGAGAAGGCACGCGATTGATGTTTCTCTCTCGCACTGGGGTTTCTCTCCCTCCTTTCTCCTCTTTCTAAAAACCAATAAGCATAGCCTAGGGTGAGGATAATAATAATGCCTGTCCCAAAAGAGAAAAATCCAAATATCCCTTTAACCACAGACCAAGCTGAGCTCAGTTAGTGAAGTCATGACTAGAATTTATGAGAAAAGGCATACCTCCCTGGCTGCCTTCTGCACAAACCGCTCATCAGTGACCCGGAAGGCCCGGCACAAGGCCTCAGCAGGATCATGGGGGAACATCTCCTGGCGTACCAAGTTAACATGCAGGTGGACAGAGGCATAAATGGCAGCATCCACTCCTCCGTGGCCATCAAACACTGCAAAGTAAGCTTGTTCTTCCTGGTCCTGTCAAAAGAAACACAGAAACAGTTAAGGGAGTTAGGTATGGCATGATTCGGTAAGCCAATCCCCTGCACTGTAGCCCATGCTCCTCTACTGCATTTGTCACCAGATAATGAGACCAAATGTTTCCCTTTTCTGACATGGCTGATCAACTGCTAAAATACCTGCAGTATTAGGGCATCTGTGTTTACATCAGAGCACTGGAACACATCACGCCTAATTAGCTCAGGCTGAAGTGCCCTCTCTCTGAAAGTTGTTGTCTTGCACCATGGAAACCACCCACATGCACTTGCTTCAAAAAATTGCTATTACAATTTTGAGGGGAGAGGAAGGAAAGAGAAGGTATGAGGAGGAATTGAACAAAAGCTGTTCTGGAATGAGTTCTCTTCCAAAAAGAAAAGCATTTTAATCATAAAATTAGAAACTAAGAACAATAGAAAGTAATTGGCCTTCCAGCACATAACAAGGCCAATTATATTATGTTGTTTAAAATAAAGAGATAATGATAGCATATACATACTTCTAAATTATAAAATCTCCCTAATAAATCATTAATGGTCACATGAATTCTCATCATAAATAACAGCCTAAACTAGTTGGCAAAGCTTGAACCACGACAGATGTCCAAATGCCCTGTAACATTTTACCTTGTCCCCTAATTCAAGATGCAGTTTCCCTCCTCCTTGCCCACCCATGCATTGCTTGAAGTGCTAAAACAAGTGCCAGAGGAAGGGCTTGGGAACCTGTGCTTTGTCCAGTCAAAGGAAGCCTAATCATAAGATTACATCAAAACCATTAAGTAGTTTGCTTCCGAAACTCAAGTGTTTAAATCTCAGATCTAGCCTGCTTAGGAGATCTACAACTCACTGAAGGAAGAGTCCTGGACTCCCTTTAGGCAACAGTATGTAATGATTTTCATTTGTAAGTCTTTCACGATCCTTGTGCTCTAGGAGCTTGGATCCATCCAGGTCCTGTCATTCTAACATAACAAATATACAAAGTAAATCATATAATTTTCTTGTGCTTGTCTTCCCATCTGTTAGGTAGGGATGAGTTGCTATATCGTGGGTATTTGGAAGGATTACCAAAATGTATATTTTGGAAGGATTACATGTATATTTGTAATTTGGCAAAGTTCTTTTAAAGGGTGTACTTGCATTTACAAAAGCACCACATATAAATGTCCCAAGAATAATCATAATATTATGAAGTCTGTATCTACTACAGACATTACAACTAGTTAATTTAGCAATCTAATGAACAGCATCTGTAATGCCACTGAAGATTAACTAATTAAACAAAACTACCTAGAAAAACATTCCTGACATGTTAATCATTTTTAAATAACTCAATTGGCAGAATAAGGGTAAGATCAAAAAACAGCATAAATAAGCAGTTTTTAAATGAGGAGTGAGCTGTTGTGGGATTATCACAAAGGGGTGGGAGCAAGAATACCTTTATTGAGACATGAGAATATAACTAAACAATTTGAGACCGATGGGGAGACTCTTTGTGTAGCATCAGAAGAAGCAGAGGAGCCAAATGGACCTCTTAAATAATTAGTATAACTTTTTAAATTTAGCAAAAAAAAACCCTGATGTTTTTCCTATTATAAAGATAGTATACATTTATATGGCCTGATAAAGTATAAAGAAGTAAATAAATATCTCTAATTCCATTATCCATAGATAACCTTTTTTTTCTATACATATACATTTTTAATAAAATTAGATCATACTTTACACAGAATTTTATATCCTTTTTATCATTAATCATGTCATTAGCATTTCTACCATGTCATTAAGTATTCTCAAAGATATAACTTTAAATGGATATGTACTATGCATCTTATGAGCGTATCATAGTTAACATTGCCTATACATAATAATTTAGATCATTCCCAATTTTTTATTATTTTTAACAGTGTTGTATCAAACAGGCCAAACAAAACATCCTTTGGGTTACATCTGCATGGGCAAGATAACATTTGGAAACAAAGATACTGCTAAATCTGTCTTTGTAACCTAAGTGCCGATTACCAACCCACCATCACTGCTTATCAGGCCTTGACAGCTAAAATTTATATTTAACTGCTAAATGAAGAAAATACCATGCTTTGTAGAAATTATTGCACTGTAATTTCTAAGTTATGGACTTGAGTGTAGGAAAGAGGCAAATGACAGGCAAAGGAAACAAACCTACCTCTGTTTGCATTAACATAATACACTTAATAGAAAAAGAAGAGGAATCTAACAAGAACATGGTTATTAAGTTGACAAGGCTCATGTGATCCAATTTGTCAGTCACAATGATTCCGGAAATGTAATTCCAGCTACTTTCCTATCTCAGAAACCAAGATTTAAAACATGAAATCAAAAAACTGTCTCAGTCTCAAATTCTTTCTTTTATGTTTGTGCTTTGTACTGCTTTAGCAACACGGTAATGTGGAAACTTAATAAACACCACTTGATTATACTATCAAACAGTTTTCTTTTAAAAAAACAGCTTTATTGTGATATAATAGTTTTCTTTTTTACTTGTATGTTTATAGAATAGCTCTGTAATGTTACACAAGAAACTGGTAATTCCCTTGCCTTCACGGAGGGAAACTGAGTGTTTGACAGAGATAAGAAAGAGATTTTATTTTCCTATTCTAAACCACGTGAATGCATTACCTATTAAAAAAACAAAGTTCCTTTCCTATTGTCTAATGCAAGCAAATTTGTGTCATTTTGCCTTTAGTCCTATTCCAACCTACCAGAGACACTATTAGAAGTACATTAGTTGTTAGAAAACAGGACCGTGAGGGTGTTTTTCTTAAATCTCATTGACTGCAGAAGCGCCCTTTACCTCCAGGTTGAAGAGCATATTAAAGTCAGGAATGCAGACATGTTTGTCCTCCATTTTCCGGCGCATGTTTTTGATCGCGTGGATCGATGTCTCATAGTAACGCTGGGGTCTCCTGCGGAGAGGGAAGTCCTTCACCCAGCTGCAGCAGATGTCGTGTAGCTTGCTGAAGACAGAACGGGCCAATTTCACCGTCTCAATCTCTGTGAAAGAAACACAGAAGAAACCCCCAATGAAGAGCCTTATAAAACTGCTTTTCTCTTGCCTGACTGATAAAAGACAGAAGTAGGTCACATTAGTCAAACACTTCCTTAATAGAAGAAATTCCTCCTCAAGAGAAATGAAATGTTGCTTCTGAAGAGAGAAAATGACAACCTATCCAGTAGAAAATCAGCCAGCAGCTGCATGAAGATAAATGTCATGTGGAGAAAACCTCTGGTCAGGGCTGGATCTTTGCCAAGGCTGGATTTTTTCTACCCCACACAGTGCTCTGGACACTGCTATCAAGTGCAAGGCACTGGTGCACTTTTGGTTGGCTGTGGTGGTTATCATCTGGAGAGCTTAGAAGAATCACTGAACAGTAGTTACCCAGCTAATTGGAATATGAAAGGAACAGATTATTTATTTAAAAACTACAAGAATCAGAAGAGTTCCTGGCTGGCATAGCTCAGTGGATTGAGCACAGGCTGCGAACCAAAGTGTCGCAGGTTCGATTCCCAGTCAGGGCACATGCCTGGGTTGCAGGCCATGACCCGCAGTAACCTCACATTGATGTTTCTCTCTCTCTCTCTATCTCCCTCCCTTTCCTCTCTAAAAATAAATAAATAAAATCTTTAAAAAAAAAAAAGAATCAGAAGAGTTTACTTTGATTACCATTTGTCTTTGTCTCCCTCTTCCTAACCTCTTCTTTACCTCTTTCCAGTTACCTAACTCTTCTCTCCTTAACTGATTATAATTTGGAAGGAAATTATATATTTTTGTTATTTGATGTATTTTTAAGTTAAAGCTTGAGGTAATAGCTTAAATAGTTTGGCCAACAGGTTAACAAAACTTTCTATTTTTCTAAGGAAAAAGTACTCAAATTCTGTGTATGTGCGTAACCTTGGATAGAAAAAAGAGATAGCAATCAAAATTCTTTACCCTGGACTATTAAGTCTACTACCTGACCTATTAATTGGAGCCTATACTAACTGATTTCTGATGCTGACTTGCATCCCTCAATGTGTGGACATATGGGAAAGAAAGCCTTAAGCAACACTGAATAGTATTGCCCAGATTGTCTCCTATCATCTCCACTCAAGTTGTCTTCTATTCAAGTTGCAGCTACCGAAATAACCAAAGGGAGATTAGGTTTTTTCAGGCCAGTGTTTTAGAGGTTCTTCCTACATTCTAGGTTTAAAAAAAATTAGAATTCTCAATTACTAAGTCAGATATAGCTTGACAGCCTGAGAAAATGTGTGCCAGATGGGCAATGGCTATGCATGCCTCCTGCAATCCACAACACAAATCCCAGAGAAGAAGGACTGTGTGTTCCTAGAATGGCCTGGGAACTTAAGAGTCTCGTTTTATATTCCTCGCCCTGCCTTTGCCTAAATCTGTGACTACAGTTACCAGTTTTCTTATTCAAATTTCTTTTTAAAATGTCCAGAAACTGACCTCAAGGTTTTTGTTGCTTTTTTCCACATTAACATAATACAAGGTGGTAAACTATGTTTTGTGGCTTTGTCCCATTGACATTTTTATATAACTAAAAAAGGGCATCTTTGAAAGAAAAGAATTTCAAAGAACACGTAAAACCTAAGGAGCTGTGTATAAGAGGGAAACTGAGGCCAAAATGTTAAACTGCCCAACATTTTGACTGGTTTAAGCAACTCCAATCTCTTTTTTTAAGCACCAGCTGCCAGAGATTGTCTCTTTCAGCCAGAAATTACCTGTCTGTATCACTCCAACCCATCTGGACCTTGCATATGGGTATATATTTGACTCAGTCATATTACAGGATGGCAGAACAATGAATGAATTCAGAAACTTTGAAGGAGAATAGAGTTGGGTGAAACAAATAACTGATTAACTATCATGATAATTACCACATTCCCAGATAATAATATAAACCATCATATCATTCTTTATCAAAGAATAATAAATAAATATTACTCTTATTATATAGACCTGGATTGTCCAATAAGGTCGCTTCCTAGCTACATGTGGCTACTTAATTTAAATAAAATTTAAAATTCAGTATTTTAGTCATATCAGCCATATTTCAGGTGCTCAATAACTGCATATAGCCAGTGGCTACCGCACTGAACAACACAGGTAGAGGACATTTCCATCGCTGTGCTGTCTCCTGGACAGTGCTGGTATAGACAGATTAAATTAGTTAGGGGAAGCAATACCAGCTTCTGCTAATATTAGTAAAACACTAGAACTGTCCACTGCCCCTCCCCGTTAGTCCTCCTCTTATCTTCCCACTACTATTTGTTCACATCATCTTTGAAAGCTCTTACCACAGCCTCTAACAATAGGTAATATTTTGGGGGTATTTGCTACATTCTGTCTCCAGAACATTTCACAAACAGATAAAACCATTCTCAATCCCAGATATATCTGACTGTAACAACCATCTTCTACATTTCCTAAATTAGACTGCAGATAGAAACTGTTTCTTGATTTTCCTTGATTAGTCATAGTATAGTACCTAGCAGATAGCAGGGTTCATTAGATGTTTATGGAATAAATGAACATGCAAACTTATAAAAATTATATAATCACTAAAATGTTAAAGTATTTGTATGCTTCTTGATCACCTATTCTGCTCCACTGATCTTTCCATCTATTTCTACAATGGTGCCATTCTTTTAAAATTACTATAACTTTATACATGAGAATATCACATGGACTAGTTTTCCTGTCTATTATCCTTAATTTTATTTTATTTAAAGATTTTATTTATTTTTAGAGAGGAAGGGGAGGAGAAAGAAAGGGAGAGAAACATCAAAGTACACACTGATTGGTTGCCTCTCGCACACCCCCTACTGGGGAGCTGGCCCACAACCCAGGCATGAGCCCTGACTGGGAATCGAACAGGCAACCTTTTAGTTTGCAGGCTCAACCCACTAAGCCACACCAACCAGGGCGTACTATCCTTAATTTTAAAAGATATCACTTTGCTTTGACATGTTTATTCTTCTAGATGAACTTTCTAATTATTTTGCCAACTGTTAGGGGAGAAACCAGTTGCCATTGTGTTTGGGACCATATTAAATTGATAAAGTTATTTGGGAGAAAGTTACATTTTTTTCATACTGAGTTTCTCCAGCAACAAGCTATATGGTTTCACTAATTTAAATCCTTTTTTATATTGCTCAATAGAGTTTTAACATAGGTCCTTCATATTTCTTAATGAATTTATTCCTCATTATTTTATTTTTTTTATTTGCCATTTTGAGTCTGAACTTCACTTTGATGTGTTATTTGCCACCTAGAAAACATTTCTCTTTCTACCAGGAACATTCCTTCTCTATTCTCAGTCCATGTGCAGAGGAGGTCCAGACAATTAGAAAATCATATCCCTATGCCCATGATTGGTTCAGGAATGGGAAATTAATACAAGCTGGGCTGATTAGAGTAAATCTTGTGACTTACATAAGAGCAACTGAGGAAAATTACACTTATTTTCCTGCTTGATTTGAACCTGGGCAGATGAAGACCTGGTGCTCCTAACAGTTGTCTTGACACACTGCATGGAGCCTGAAAATAAAACCAAAATGAAAGAGAGTACAGCTGAGAATTGGAGAAATGCCAGGTTCTGATGACATTATGTGAAGCCTTGAATCTAGCTGTGTAGTCCTTACCCTGAAGGGCAGCCAATAAATTCTGTTTTGCTGAAGCCTGTGTGTTAGTGGCCACTTGGCAACCAAAATATTCTGGAGTATATACATACATTAAACATAGATGCTAGATTTTGGCTTGGGCCAGATTCTTTTCTACAATTTCCAAGATGTATTCATCTAGTTCTATTTTACTGACTATATTTTAAAATTAAGAGATACTGAATTTTATCAAATGCCTCTGGGCAGTTTTAGAGGTTATTCTGTTTGCTTTTTTTCTTTTGGCTATTAACATATAAATTAGGTTGTTCATGGCTATTTCACCAGCACAGTGCTAAGTATATGGCAGGCTCTCAAAAAAGTATTCATCAAATGAGTTAACTGTTGTACTCACTGTTACCAGAATTTTACTTACTATATTTAAAATATAGGTTACTAAGATTGATCTCTCATTTCCTTTTTAAATTTTGTCTCAGACCCCTGATCTAAGTTTTGGTATCACTGTTATGCTGTAAAAATTTTTTCTTTTTATAAAATTAAATAATTTACTTTAAAAAGCATTGGAATTATCTGTCTTTGATCATTTGAAATTGTTCACCTGTACAATCACCTACTCCTTTTTCTTTTGCAAAGATAGCTAGCTCCTTAACAATCTTACCAATGTCTTTTTTCTTACCAGGTTTTCAAATTTATTCATTCGGTATTTTAATAGTTCTTTTAATTTCCTCTGTATTAGTGATCATTTCCCCCTTCTTGTTTCTAATTTTTACATGGGGATATTTCAAATTGATTTTAGGTTGTCTGGACAGGCATTACTTCTAAATTAAATCTGTACCAACATAAGCAAGCTTGTTTAGCAAACCTTCTGTTAGGGATGATAGAAACATGAGAAGAACTTTAAGGATTTTTTAAATTATATTTTATTGCTATTTATTTTAAATTATATTATATGCTATTACAGTTGTCCCAATTCTTCCCTCTTTGCCCCCCCCCCCTCCAACCAGTACCTCCTACCCCCTCAGGCAATCCCCCTACCATTGTTTATGTCCATGGGTAATGCTATAAGTTCTTGGTTACTCCATTTCCTATACTGTACTTTATATCACCGTGGCTATTCAGTGACTACCTAATTGTACCTCTTTTTTTTTTAAGATTTATTTTTCTTTTTTTAGAGAGGGAAGGGAGAGAGGGAGAGAGCGGGAGAGAAACATCAATGTGTGGTTGCTGGGGGCCGTAGCCTGCAACCCAGGCATGTGCCCTGGCTGGGAACCGAACCTGCGATACTTTGGTTCGCAGCCTGCACTCAATCCACTGAGATAGATAGCCCTATGCCAGCCAGGGCTAATTGTACTTCTTAAACCCCTCACCTCTTCACCCATTCCCCTACATTCTCCTCCCATCCGGCAACCATCAAAATGCTCCCCATATCCATGATTCTGTCTCTGTTCTTGTTTGCTTAGTTTGTTTTCTAGATACAATTGTTGATAAGTATGCATTTATTGCCATTTTATTGTTCATAGTTTTGATTTTCTTTTCTTAAATAAATCCCTTTAACATTTCATATAATAATGGTTTGGTGAGAGTTTTTTTAAAGACAAAAGGAATTTCAGTGGGGACTTGAATACCTTTAAGCCAGTAACAGCAGGCCTTATTCAGTGTGTTCATTTCCCACTCTGATTATGGAGAAATACATGCCCTGTAGATATTCTCCTCAGTGCAGTTCACATTGAGTGATTTGGATTAAACCAGGGGTGTCAAACTCATTTTCACTGGGGGCCATATCAGCCTTGTGGTTGCCTTCAAAGGGCCAAATGTAGTTTTAGGACTGTGTAAATGTGACTTCTTAACTAGGGGCAAGGAGCTCGGTGTTGCCTCTAGGTAGAAACGAGGTGCTGGACTGGATAAAACAAGGTGGAGGACCGGATTTGGCCCTCGGGCCTTGTATTTGCCACCTGTGGGTTAAACAGATTAAGGACTTGCAAATAGTCTTGAATTATTGTAATTTCTTGGAAAGATATAAGATCAGAATGATCAATAACAACACCAAACGAAAAAAAAAAACCTTCATTTCACTTTTGCTATCTTAAGGGGAAGGGATGTCAGAAAATTCTTACAAAGTAGGCATGTAGGGCAACACTTCGATCTTGCTACTTTAAGTGTTCTCCTGCAGAGAACAGTATAGAAAATTAGTATATAAATAACTGCTGCTTGAAATAGAAAATAAAATTAAAAAGAATGTGAAAAAGAGAAAATTGTTCAAAGTAGTAGTATACTCCCTAACAGCTATAAATTACTCATACGTTTGTTTTAAACAATTTGGCAGCTTCCTTCACTTTTTTAAAAGAGATTTTTTTTATTGATTGATAGATAGATAGGAGAAGGGAAGGAGAAAGAGAAGGAGAGAAATATTGATGCTTGAGAGAAATATTGATTGGCTGCCTCTCATACTCCAACTGTAGACCTGGCCTGCAACCCAGGCATGTGCCCTGACTAGGAATCGAACCAATGACCTTTTAGTTTGCTGGATGATGCCCAGCCCACTGAGCCACACCAGTTAGGGGAATTACTCATGAATCTTAATGTCACTGTACTGAGCTGGAGCTGAGTCAGCCTGGCTGCAATGAAGCAGAATTTAATCTCCCTCCCCTTGTCATTAGAGGACTTTTACTTCATGCATCAGGACCACAGGAAAGAACAATGCTTTGTAGGAGGAATTACAACTGACTTGCCTCTGGAATAATCTGGTTCCAAGTGAATCAATTACTCTCAATAAAAACAAGCAGAGGAATTCCCTCTTTACCAATTCTCTGTAAAAAATGATCTAGAGAGCCCTGGCTGACATAGCTCAGTGGATTGAGCATGGGCCTGTGAACCAAAGGGTTGCCAGTTCGATTCCCAGTCAGGGAACATGTCTGGGTTGCAGGCCAGGTCCCTAGTAGAGGGTGTGCGAGAGGCAACCAATCGATGTGCACATTGATGTTTCTCTCCCTCTCTTTCTCCTTCCCTTACTTCCCTACCCCTCTATCTAAAAATAAATAAATAAAATCTTTTAAAAATTATCTAGAGAGATAAAGGAAGAACAGGAATGTTTACCGTTATACCTGCCTCAGATTCTCTGGAATCTAGCCACTTTGATTCATTAATGTATGCTCTGCTCCTTATGCACCATGTTTAAAGGCAAATGCTTAAAACAGAATAGAATGAAATATTAAAATTCCTTAATGATTTTGAGTAGTAACTCCCAATTTTTTATAAAAATCAGTAAGCCTGTCAAATATGTGTAAGTCTAATACATTAATAAATATGCCTTCTTTAATAAATAAAGCCTCATAATTTGGGGAAAAAAGAAGTACAATGATCCATGCAATTAAATCACATTTTGCATTGCTGTCATAAAGGGCTGTATTTATATAAAATTTAGTATAATTAATGAGGTTTCCTGAATTTTTATATCTGACTTGTTTTTTACTTGGAGTCTTAAAAGTAAGCTAAAATTTTAAATAGGTTTTGCTTAAACTCTCCTCTCCCTCACTCATCTTTTCTGTTGTCTTCACATTTCTCACTTTACTCTTCCTGTTTGTCTAGATATTAATGATAATATCCTTTTATGATAATATCTTTCTCCAATTACCTTGACATATTTTCAAAATATACCTGTAGTTTTCTGTTTTTTCTCCTTTTATTAGTTGGAAAAAAGAAATTTTTTGCATTTTTTCCTCTTGCTACTACTATACAATTAATCAGTAGGTAACCATAACTAGAATTAGTATTTGACAGACATTTCTGTGGATCACTACACAGGAGAAGATTTTAATATTTACAAACAAATAATGTAGAATGGTACTCACCCACACTCCCTTCTGTGCTATCTGTTTCCTTTGGGATGTAATGTGCAGAAAGATCACTCTGAAGGACTTCGTCTGATGTGGCTCTGGCTAAAGCAGCAGCCAAAAAGGAAGGGCAATTGCTGAAAGAGAAAAATAAAAGGCTATTTCAGTAAGAGTTAAGAAATAGTACATTCAACATTATTAATAATTACTTATTAATTTATTGCCTCAAAACAAAACTATACCTTTAAACAATATTCAACACACATTTACTGAGTGCATATTATGAGCCAGACACTCTGCCTATGCACTGAGTGCATATACTGGTGAACAACACAGAAGTAGCCCCTGACCTAGTGAAGCGTACAGTCTAAATAGAGACATATGATAAGTAGACAAATATGATATAACTTAAAATTGGGACAAGTTTTCTAAAGGAAACACACAGGATACAGTGAAAGAGAATAAGAGACCGAGTACCTACTTAGAATGGTCAGGAATACCCTAACTTTAAGGACGAGAAAGCCTCGGTTATGTGGAGGTGGGAATTTTGGAGAGAATACTCCAGGCAGAGAAAACAGTATGTGTACAGACCCTTCCTGAGAGTTTGGTATGTTTAAGGAACTGAAAGAAGCCCAGAGAAAATGAAGTATAGTGCGTAAGGGAGAAAATGGCAGAGACCATGGTCAGAGGAACAGGCAGAGATCAGTTACATGTACCTTTTAGACCATGGTAACAAATTAGGATTTTACACAAAGTGCAATGGGAAGTCATGAAGATTGTGAGCAAGAGAATTACACTCATTAAAATATTACTTAAAATATTAAATATTAAAGTAATATTGATTAAAATATTACTTAAAACATTAACTATTAAGGTAATATTAATTAAAATATTGCCTTGCTCCAGCAAAGGAAACAAAGGCAGCAGGAATGAAGGAGCGTGGCCAATAAGGAAACTGCTATAATCCAGGTAAGATGTGAAAAAATGAGTGTATCCTGGAGAAAGAAAATGTAGAACTTGCTGATTATTGCATGTAGAGGTAAAAGAAAAGAATTGAGGCTGAGCCCTCAGTTTTGATCTCAGCAACTAGGTACATGGTAGCATCATTCACCTAGCTGGAGAAACCAGGAAAAGAGTTAAAGTAGAAAAGGGTTCATTTGAGCATATTAAGTTGGAAATATCTACAATGTCCCAGTGAAGGTGTCAAATGGTTAGTTATGTATTCTAGCATAGAGCTCTGAGATGTTAGGAAATCATGAATGTTATGGATGATATTTAAAACTATAAAATGAGAATTGCTATGGACCAGTGACTTTTCTGTGCTTCTGTCTTCACCCTTTTGAAATAGGAAGGTTATCTTATGCCTCACCATTTTATATTGGGTAGTGGTGGCATAAGGAGTAATTTGCCTCTTTAAGTCCCCAAGTTTTCAAATCAAGTGGAACTATATTCAAGGAGCTAACACCAAGAAATTATACCCAAGGAATCTCACCTGCACCTGGACCTGACCTCAGTGAGATGAACTAAGGCTATCATGTCAGTCAGTAGCTATTCTCAACTGCCTCACATGGAATGGCACAGGCCTTCAGATGATACCAGTCTTCAGCCTGAATTCTCCAGCTGAGGCCCCAAGACATCATAGAACAGAGATAAGCTGCCCCTGCTTTGTCCAGTGTGAATTCTTAGCTCAAAGAAACTGTGAGCATAATAAATGACTGTTTTATGCCACTAAGTTTTGTGCTGTTTTATTACGCAACAACAGTAACTGAAAACCCAACATTTAAAAGCTTGGTAGAATATGAGGAACCTATAAATACTGAAAAGAAATATTAACACATTGTATGCGGGAAACGTATTTATACGTTTTACGTTGACTGGTAGTAGAGCGCGTGATAAAAACTACCCACAAACAATGTGTTAAGATAGTAAAAGGAGAACCAAGAGAGAGTATGTGAAGGAGGTCAACTATGTCCCTACTGCTGAGAGGTCAAATAAGATAAGGGGAAAATGGATACTGAATTTAATAACATAAATTATCACACATTGGGTACCAAAACAATTCAATGGAGGAAAGAACAGTCTTTTCAACAAGTGGTGCTGGGGCAGTTGGATATCCACAAGCAAAATAATCAACTTAGACTCTTTCCTTACACCATATACACAAATTTACTTAAAATGGACCATAGTCCTAAATGTAAAAGCTAAAACTATAAAAATCTCAAAAGAAGACATAGGAGTAAAACCTCATGACCTTAAACTAGGCAATGGTTTTCTTAAACACCAAAAACAAAATAAAGAATTAAACAGGACCACAAACCAAGAAAATGAAGAGACAACTCAAAATGGTAGGAAATATTTGCAAATCATATCTGATGAGGGACCAGCATCTCATCAGATAGTCTAGAGGGACTAGAATATGTAAAGAACTCTTACAACTCAATTATAGAAAGACAACCCAGTTTATAAATAGGCAAAGAATATTAGTAGCTGTTTTTTTTAAAGAAGATACATAAATGGTCAATAAGCACAAAAGATACCCAACATCACTAATCAAAACCGCAATAAGATACCACTTCACACCAAGCAGGATGACTATGATGAAAAAGAGAGAGAGAGAGAGAGAGAGAGAGGGAGGGAGGGAGGGAGGGAGGGAGGGGGAGAGGTAATAACAAGTGTTGGTGACTATGTAGAAAAATTGGTGTAGAGTATACTCTCATATACTTCTGGTAGGAATGTAAAATAGTGCAGTGGTTTTGGCAGTTCCTTAAAATGTTAAACACAAAATAACTACATGGCTCAGCAATTCCACTCATAGTTATGTATCCAAGAGAAGTAAAAACATACTTCCACACAAAACTGGTCCATGAATGTTCGTAGCAGCATTATTCATGATAGCCGAAAAGTAGAAACAACTAAATGTCCATCAACTGTTTATGGATAACTAAAAGGCAGTATATTTGTGCAACAGAATATTATTCAGCCATAAAAGGAATGAAGTATTGATACATGCTACAATGTGGATGAACCTTGAATATATATGGTAAGTGACAGAAACCAGTCACAAAAGACAACATATTGAATGATTCCACTTATATGAAAAGTCCAGAGTAGGCAAATCTATAGAAATAAAAAGTAGAGCAGTGGGGTAGCCTAGGGCTGAGGGCTAAGGTGAATAGGGAAAAACTGCTAAATGGTAGAGAGTTTCTTCTTGGGGTGATAAACATGTTCTACCTCTTAAATTGTAGTGATGACTAAACAATTCTGAAAATACTAAAACCACTGAATTGTACATGTACACTTTAAATTTGTAACTTTCATGGTACATAAATCATATTTCAAAAACAATGTTTAAAAAAGTCACTGACTTTGTCAAGAACCATTGAATAGTGGAGGTTAAAATCAGATTAGAATGGGGGTTAGTAAGTAGAAGGCATGAGGCATGGCAGCAACTGAGAGGGATATGGGGACAGGGTAAGTTTGTTGCTCTGACTGCAAAGTTCTTGGGAAGGCAAGGAGGGATGTGATCCAATCCATACATGTAAATACTGACCTTTGTTAGAATGAGGCATATTTCCTTAGTTGGAAAAGGAAGAAAATGGGTACAGATGCGAGTAGTTTTCCAGTTTCTTGATAGGAAAATAAAGAAGTTCCCATCTAATGGTTTAACTGACCAATAACTTATTGAGGCTTACAATGTTCCAGGTATTGTTCTAGTACACAGGATATATATGCCCCAAAACCCCTGCCGCCTTCAGGGATTACATTCTACAGTATGGCTTCTCAATGAACTATGAGACTAGGCCAGTAGTTCTCAAACTTTTGCATGCATCAGACTAACCTGCAGACTTGTTAAAATGGGTTGCTGGGACCCAACCCTAGGATTTCTGACTCAGTAGGCCTAGGATTCTCATTTCTCACAAGCTCCTACATAATGTTTGTGTGGCTGGTCTGGAGACCACACTGGGAGAACCACTGGGTTCTGTCACCAACTGGGTGGTGAGGATAGAAAGCACATAGGGAGAAGGAATGAAGAGAAAGTAGATATAAAATAGTCATATCAGAGAATAGCAGGACTGTCAAACAGTGCCAAGAGATTATTGGAAGTTTGAGATAATTTTTTAATAAAACCACTCTTTCTTTCTGGTTGTATGATTTTCTCCATCTATGTTCACGTGCTGGAACATGTGTAGGTAAAAAGAATTGTTTAGTTCATCAAGATTTGGGGTTTTGCGGGTGGGTACTATAAAGAAGAGACATGGGAATTGAATGTACTTATATTTTTAAGGATGTGATTAGAATGTTTAACCACAGACTACTGGCTAAAAAAGGGCATGAGTTGAGACTTCCGGCAAGATGGAGGAATAGGTGGACGCACCGTACCTCCTCGCACAACCAAGATTAGAACAACAATAAATTACGGTCAGCATAACACACAGAACTGACAGAGGATTTATCTGAATGGAAGTTGGACAGCCAAGAAGTTGTAGACCCGTACATCCAGACTGGTAGGAGACTACGAGCCGAGCGGGCGCGGGGCTGGCGCGGGTAGGCGGCGTGCGGAGGTTGGGGAAAGTTTGGCGCGGAATCGGCACGACAGCCATCCGGGGCGCAAGAACGCAGTGGTGATCCCTGAGTGCGCAAGCTGCGGCTGGCGGACCCAGTGAGGCAGCGATTGTGCACCAGGGCAGAGCTCGCAGCCCAGGAGCCCGGGGAAGGGTCTGGGCCCAGGAGAACTGAACTGGCGCCATTGATTCCCTCCCGTCCCTGCTCCCGCCCCCACATATAATGTCACAATCTAGCGACTGGGGCGCCCAGCCCCGGTGAACACCTAAGGCTCCGCCCCCCACCGTAACAAGAGCGACCAGACCGGAAAAAAAAAAAAAATAGAGACAGGGAAAGACATAAGACATGTGTACAACAGAGCAGATCAGTCCCCCAGGACTCATCCTTTTGAGCGACCAAGAAATAGCCAATCTATCAGATGCACAGTTCAAAACGCTGGTAATCAGAAAGCTCACGGAATTGGTTGATTTTGGGTGCAATTTAGATGAAAGGATGCAGGTTACCATAAAAGAGATGCAGGAAGATATGCGGAGGAGAGCCAATAGAGACAGGAAGGTATCTGAGTCTCAAAACA